GAAGACTATTGTTTACACATCCTTTCTACTTTTTCTCATGAGATTCGCATTCGTGTGCTTGTTATGGCTCTAATCCACAAAAATCAGAGCTCCCAATGAGTAAACGTCCTCAGGTCTCCTGCCCCTCCTGTGTTTGACAACATTAATCGTCAGATAATTAAAATGCTACACTCTAGGTACCTGTAAAACAAGGGAAATACGTGTAGATTTATTAGTCTTCAGTAACCACACCAGGAGAGATTGATAAAGCTAGACAGTTTCCCTTTCAGAGGAGATTCAGTGCCGGGCGAGTGGAACCTGCAAATACCAAACCAGGAAATCATCACTACCCGGGGGTCATTCCTCCGCAGACAGCCAATAACGCTGAGTTTTACGAACAAACATTAGACTTATACTCAGACCAAAATGTAGATAATTCGCAAAATATTTCCGGCAACCCCACCCACAAGTTGCTCAGAAACTTATACCGGCGAAGCTATGCTTCCTTTATACGAACCCAAAAAGCTTCCTTCAGAAGATTGATGAGCTTACGGTATGTGTAACTGACCTTCACCCGGACGTCATCTCCATTACAGAGGTCTGGTTACAGGGGGACATAATGGATGCCGAAATTGTACCCGGTGACTTCCAAAAATTTCGGCGGGACCGGCTATAAAAAAGAGGCCTACCACTACACTACTAAGAATTCCACCGAAAGTGGAACGAAATAAGGTCAACTGCCGCAAACCACGGAGTGAGGAGTATGAGGCGACAACTATAGGAAGGTTTGTATATAAGTCAAAAGTACTCTTTAGCTACATCATCAGTAAGTTAAAAATGAAGAAACAGTCGCAGTCTTTAAAGGGGAGAAGGACGAAGAAATTACTGGAAATCCCGAAAAGGCAGAAACCTTAGTCAGTTTTTTACATCTCCGGATCCAGAATAAATACCGGCAAAAGTACTGCAAGAGCTTATTTCGGAACTCTCCAAACTGTTTTGCATATTTTCAGTTGTCGTTTAATCGAAACCTCCTCCCATTTGACTGGAAAGTTGCGAACATATACCCTATCCACAAAAGTTGATCCAGAACCAGCGCGAACAACTATCGACTAATGAGCCTAACTTACATTTTTCGCAAACTTACGGAAAGCATTACCAAAGAGGCCACCATGAAGTTTCTCGAAGGAAAAGACTTCTTTGA